AGCGGGAGACGAAGCGTCGGCCTTCGCAGGCGTCCGAGGCCGGGCCGGCAGACGCATCCCTCGACGCTTGTCCAGCCTCTGAACCTCCCAGGCTGCTGGCAGGTCCGGTTGGCGCTGGTGGAGACGTAGGGCACGTAGCCTTTCTTGTAGTCGAGATCCTAGACGCGTATTTAAAGCGCCCAGTTTTAAACCACTGGTTTTGGCCTCTTGATCGTGGGAGACGCATCATTACATGGGGCTGCCCTGAAAAGGGAGCAGATAGGACATTTCCGTATAGTACTCTGAGAAATTATTCAGGGGACAAAAGATGAGCAACTAAGTTTTTATATCTATATTTACACGCAAATATATAAAAGAAAGATTTTCCTGGGTAAGGAGAGGTTTTGAAAAAAACTTGCAAACCAACCACCAAACCCTACTCGGGGAGAAAAACGCGTTAGGATACCTGTTACATTGGACCACAGAGGTGCCTGTTTATTACTAGTTGCAAATGGAAGGAACAGTCTTTCAGCCAGGATATGGAAGAGAATTCCTTCCCAAATACCGCAAGTTTCAATGTCCTAACTGCCAAAAAACAAAGCCACCTCCTACACCTTCCTGGATACCAGAAGCCCCAACTGCCCGCTACCCATCTGTCAAAATTTATAGCTTTGCCTAGACAAATATTAACAATTCAGTCATGCACAAAGCCAGTGGCATCTTGAGAAATTGGGAGAAGGATAAAATACATTGACTGTAATGTAAAAATAAGTTACGTGGTGACTAGTGTACTTTTTTTTCCATGGCTCCATCTGCTAGCCCCTATCTTCTACTGAGCTTGCAGAGGCTTTGGAATAGGCCTTTTTGTTCTCTGAATGCTAAATGCGATCACAGGATCACGATCCATTCACTTCTGTGCATTTCTGCAACACTGATTCTTTGGCCTGCCTCCCAAGGGCTTTTTTTTTGTGTTGGATGGCATTTTTGTATTTATGTTCTTTCAAGTAGCAGAGTAAGTTAGTTACATCGCATCTTTTTTTGTCTACAAAAAGCAGCAACTATTTCAGACATTCATTTGGGGGAGAGGATCCTGAAAACCAAAAGGAAAAATAAATGGGTAACACACACTGGATGCCTGGCACGTGTCGAGTCCAACCGCAGTTTTCTAACACCTCTGCAGTTGGCTATAGATCAAACAGCTCGCAGATAGCACCCATCAGTGCCTCCCAGCACAATGATGCTTCTGCCTCGCCTCTCAGTAGAGTTAAGAGGAGCCTGCGCACAGTATGGACACAAAATCCTAGCTAGAGGGGAACTGGAGAACTTGGTGTGGGAATAGCAGGGAGACCTAAAGGCCACCTAGCCCAAAGAGAAGTCCAAGGAGAGGCAGAAGGCCAGGGGAACTGGAGCTAAGATGTGTACCCAGGACTGGAGCGAGGCTGGGGAAAAGGACAGAACGGGACAGAGCTCTGCCGTGGCCTGTGCAGGTGGGAGGGAAAGGGATGGATGGTGGCCCTTGGTAATGATTAGGAACACTAATGGGATCTGTAATGAGATAACATTAATAATATGGGAAAAGGGGCAGGAAACCCTCCTTGACAGAGAGAAGAACAGGTAGTAGCACAGGGAGAAGAGCTATGGCCAGAGCTGCTGGCATAGGGACAGAAGAAAGGTTTGGTGTGGGAGAAGAGGACACGGAGCATCCTGAGGGGGTGGGGGTTGAGCGTTCATTCTTGTGGCTTCCTGAAACGACGGCACGGGACTTTGGCATAGCTTTTGACCTGTTGAAGGAATGCAAGGAGTCGTTGCAGGTGCAACGGTAAACTAAGCCCTGCAAAAGCAGCAAGTCTTACAACACCCCCTCTACTATCAGAACAATTTCTGTATTGCAGTTTCCAGAAGGACAAAAAAAAGACATTTACTCAGAAAATGCCATTTTCTCCCAGCACGTGTCCTGTCCTCTACTCCAAGCCTTACAGCAGTGTTACCATTTGGAGGGATGCAAATGTGAAACTACCACAGAAAGAAGAGATTATCTAATACAGGGGGTCTTTCAGATAACGGGTAGGGACCCCAAGGGAGGCTGTTTCATGGTCGTGCATTTCAGATTTCCATGAAGAAGTGGCCTGCCTACGACATTGGCCTCAGATGCAGGGGGGTCCCAGGCAGTGCCTGTTCTTTCTCACACACACATTTTGGAGTATTTGATCTATTTAGTTTACTTGACGGCACAGCGTCCTTTAATGTTGTAAAATAATGGATGGTTGCCTTGGTCTGCGTCCCTAAGACCAGCCTTGCGACACGCTGAGGCGAGACTCCCAGTTTTCAGCCAACTGGGTGAAAGCAGGACAACAGTGTATGTAATTCAAGGGGTTTTCTATATGGTTTTGGCTGGTTGTAACACCTCAGAGAGAGAGCGATGAGACTTTTTAACGGGGTTGCGGCAGAAATGCCTCTTAAGATTTGGGAATGTTACTGCAGTAGGTTATTGACAAATACAACGCGTGAGGGAAGATTACCAGGGATGGAGATTTAGGTTTTTTGGGAGTGGGAGAAGACTCTGAGCATCCTGGGCTGGAGCGGAGCACAACCATCGCGCGGCTGGCAGAAGCAGAACAGGTCACCCAGGGCGTTGAGCCCAACCCGCGGCGGGGGCTGCCAGGCCCAAGGCGGCCATTTGGGAGCGGCGTCCACGGGTGGGATGGGGAGCGCCCCCGGGCTGGGGGGGATGAGCGCCGTGTGGGTGGGC